ATTATAGCCCTGGAATCTTTGAGGCTCTGGAGCCTAGGGTCCATTTTGTCCGAGAACAGGCCTTGCCCTTCAAATGGAATGTCCTGCAGGGTTTGCTGCAGTTCTGGTGGCAGGCCCGACATATAAAGCCACGATATGCGGCACATGGCTGTGCCCGATGCAAGGGTCCTGGCAGCAGAGTCTGCAGCATCTAAGGACGCCTGTAAGGAGGTCCCCTCCACTAGGGCCACAAACTCGTCCCTGGACTCTGGAGGCACTAACTCTTTGAATTTTAACATGGAATTCCATGAATTATAGTCAAAGTGGTTCAGGAGTGCCTGCTGGTTCGCGACCCTGAGCTGCAGCTCCCTGGAGGACTAAAACTTGCACCCGAACAAATTGAGATGCCTATCATCCTTCGATTTGGGTGCCGGAGCCTGCTGCCCATGCTGCTCCCTTTCGTTCACCTAGGCCACCACTAGTGAACATAGCTGAGGGTAAGTGTATAGGCACTCATACTCCTTGGAGGGAACAAAATATTTCCTCTCCACTCCTCTAGCCTTTGGAGGGATGGAAGCAGGCGTCTGCCAGATTGTTTTGGCAGTGGTCTGGATAGTATGTATGAGAGGCAAAGCCACTCAGGACGGAGCCTACACTGATAGGATGTCCACCACTGGGTCCTCCAACTCTACCACCTCCTCCACTTGGAGGTTCATATTATGTGCCATCCTACGTAGGAGGTTTTGGTGGGCACGAAGGTTTATTGGAGGAGGACCCGAGATTGTTGTCCCCACCACTGCCTCATCTGGAGAAGACAAGGAGGACGCTACGGGGGCTAGAGGGTCTGGTGACACCTCCTGTTGTGATGGGTCCTGCTGCCTGGGGTCTGGAGCTTGCCATGAGGTCAGGGCTGCAGTTTCCATACCACCTGGAGCAGGACAGCTTATGGTGGCCTCTGGCACCCGAGGTTCTGAGTGGGTTGAGCGGGAAGCCCCTAACAGGATGCCCTTGGCTTGGTGGTACGCCCACGGGGTCCAAAAGGACCATTGTGCAGGTCCTTGACTGGGATCATGGCTCTCCTCCTGCCAATGTCCGGCATTACCCTCGCCGTGGCCAGGAGCAGAGTAGCCTGGACATGAGCTCCCCTCAGACTGTGACGAGCGTGAGGCAGAACGTGAGGGCCAAGGCGGTGCTGAATGCGACTTCGTCAGCTCTCCAGGACGTGGTGGAAATCGGTACCGGGTCGCCGGTGAGCGGTGCCGCCGAGACGCTGGGGAGCGGTGCCGGGACTGAGACCAGTGCTGAGGTCTGGGCCGCTACTGAGATACAGACCTTGACTGCGATGACGACTGTCTGCAGGAGCGGTGCTGGGATCAGCTCCGGGAGGGAGATTGGCGCTATGAGCGGTGCTGGGAGCGACGTCGGGAATCCGATCGGTACCGTGAGTCGGAGCCATGTCGTGAGCCGGAGCGGTGCCATGAATACGACCGACGACACGAGTATGACCAGTGCCATGAGGGTGAATGGCGTTGGAACTGCGAGCGTCATCAGGACTGCGAATGGCATCGGGAGCAGGATCGAATCCAGGACCGGTGCCATGCTTCCGCCAGAGGAGTTGCCAGATGGATCAGGGTTGGCTTGCCTCTGGACGGTACCACATGGGCCAGAGGTGGTGCCGCGGTCTGCAGTGATGCTGATTCCATCAGGGCAATGAGGTCTCGCACCGCTGCGAAGGTTTCCGGCATCGATGGAAGACAGGGCTCAACCACGGTACGCGTCGGGGAGCCTGTGTGCACCGGACTCAATGGCTTCTCCCTCGGTGCCGAAGTCAATGGTGCCAACGTCGGCACTTGCACCCTAAGTCATTCTGTAACTGGACATGACTCCGAGGTTGGCCTCAGGGGTGCCGGCGACTGCTAAGGCAGATCAGTCGTCTCTGGCCTGTGGTGCCGCTTCTGGCTAGGCAAGAGAAATCGGCGTCAGACCAATTGCATCGGTTGTGGTGCCAGAGAAGTCCGGTGCCGCTGGTCTCTGTTAGAGTCCATCCGTGGTGCAGTACCTGCTGCTGTTGCCGGGGCGCCGCGCACCGAAGCGCCCGGTACCGGGTCTCAGCGCGCCACTGGAGGATCCAGGCTAAGAGCCACCTCCACTAGGAGCTGCTTCAACTGAAAGGCCCGCTCCTTTTTGGTCCAGGGCCGGAACGCTTTACAAATCTTACACTTGTCAGTCTGGTGAGACTCCCCTAGGCACTTCAAGCAGGAGTCGTGGGGGTCGCCTGTTGGCATAGGCTTGGAGCAGGCTGAACAAGGTTTAAAGCTCGGAGCCTTGGCATGAGCCCAAGAGGCAGGCAGGGAGGAAGGGGAAAGACCCCTTCCAACCCACTATTCTAACTCTGTGTACACAACAACTGTAACTATAACTATACCTACAACTATAACTACACTAACTATAATAACTATATGTAAGCAGAGACAAAATGAGCTCTACACTGACATCTGGTGGTGAATTATGGCGAGGGTGGAAAAGAACTTCAGGGGCTGATCTTGTTTGCATAGGCACACCCACCTGCCTAGCCTGGGACAACAGCAACTGAAAGTGGTTAATTTGGCTGGTGTGGGATCCCCAGTTTCTCTGTTATTGGGGCAGGACGAATAAAGTGTTGTTACCCTGATTCTGTGAATCAAAGCCAGTGGAACTGTTGTATGACAGAGGGACTCACCATTCACTAAGTAGCACTCGCTAGACAAGGGGCATGGGTTACAAAACCCAGTGAATTGAGAGAGGCAGGGGGTAGGTATGTGTACTGGATAGTATGGGTGGTGGCAGCCTCCTCTTTCTTTTGAGGGTCTGGAACACCAATTGCACTACCCTCCTCTCTCCACTGTTGAATAGCAGAGCTAATTTTACTTCCATTAGGAATCTAGCTAGAGTTTGCTGCGCTGAATTCACTTTGGCCAATAGTGCACCAGCACTGGGGCTCCCCTACCACAAGCTGAAATTGCTAAAATTGCTGAGCTGAGATCACTGAGTGCTGTGTTAACTAATGGGGGAGCCTGAAGATATATTGCTAAGCAGCTGGCAGAGTGGAGCAGTTTGCGGGACGGTTGGAGCGGCCCACAGAACAGCGAGCGAGCGAAGCAGAGCAGTTTGCGGGGGCGGCTGGTAGAGTGGAGCCATTCGTGGTGAAGGCTGCAGCAGAACTCCACAGAGAGGCGGGGCAGTCGGCCTCGGACCATGTAAGGTGCCCCTTAACACCCTGTGTGCCCCCCCCATTTTCACCCAGGCTGGGGGGGAGTAAAACTCTGCAGATAAACTTTTGAACTCTGGGGCGGCACTGACCAGGGGCAGAGACTTTTGGGTTGTTGGACTTTGGGGTGATTGGACTTAAGAACCTGAGGGGAAAAGGACACTGCCAAACTTACTTGGAGGTGGGTCTTTTGCTCAGGTTTGTGTTATGAATCCTGTTTGTGGTGTTTCACCAACATAATGCCGCATTGTTTCCCTCCTTTATTAAAAGGCTTTTGCTACACTCAGACTCCGTGCTTGCGAGAGGGGAAGTATTGCCTCCTAGAGGCGCCCGGGGGGAGGTATGTAATTGTCCCAGGTCACTGGGTGGGGGCTCAAGCTGGTTTTGCATTGCGTTATTGAAACAGAACCCCTAGATACTGAACCCGGCCCTTGTTGCTGCCAACTCAGAGGGGCAGAAGGGTTACATATACAAACTATAGGAAAAAGAGACACTAGGGAAAGTGGAGAAGAGCAAAGCTCCACAGTTCCAACGATCGTCACGGGCAGAAAGAAGGAACTGAGGGGGCGCTGGGTCGGCAGGGGTATATATCCAGGGCTATAAAGGCACCACTCCAGAGGGCTCCACAGCCAACCCACCAGGTGTTGCTAGGGTAAAAATTTCTCTGACGATCATGCACACGGCGCGTGTACAGCTAATTAGAATCGATATGAGCAATACATCTTGAAGAAGAACCATGCTCTGAAGTGTCCCTAGCCTCTGTTTGCCAGAAGCTGGGAATGGGTGACAGGGGCTGGATCACTTGATGATTCCCTGTTCTGTTTATTCCCTCTGAAACACCTGGCATTGGCCACTGTCAGAAGACAGGATACTGGGCTGGATGGACTATTGGTCTGACCCAGTCTGGCCATTCTTATGTTCATGAGACTCATTATAAAATCATGAATGCTGGCAACACTTTTGACATTGTTAAACTGAGCCAGAGGAGCCTTAGCATACGTCAGAATCGGGCCACTGAAATATTGATTAAGCAATTTTTGGCCTGTTAATTGAATATCCCTAGACTTGGAAGGATTAGACTTTATGGGTAGATGTCAGTAAATGTTGATTTCACTGTACACACACAAACCATGGGAAAATGTTTCCATTGATAATAACCGAAATTTACAAATAGGCACAGTAAGAAAAATGCTGCTTGAGAACTTACTATAATTTAATTTAAGGAGATTGACTTAGTATATTTTGACATGTGAGGCTGAATTTGTGTTTTAACGGTTACAAAGTTTTAACTTTTTGAATCTCCGTGTCTACTGTCATAAAATAATTATTGTCTGACTAAAATATTATCTGACACTCCCCCCCCCAATTCCCCACAAATGTGAACAATAATATTGATAAAAACTGAAACCGTGAAAGTTTAAATAGATAAATACAAAAATATTCTTACAAATAAATATTAATTTTATCTGTCAAAATTACATATTAAATCAAATGAATTCTGCCAAGCCTAAATATGACTCCTTAGACACGCAGTTCTGTCAGCTCATCAGGACAAGAGGTCCATGTGAATCCCCAGTGACCCCCCACACCAGCAGAGGGGGCTGATTGCAGGATCAGAGCCTTATTGCTACATTTCTCACCAAAGCCTCCAGGGCTGGAACATTAGGGGTGATCTGGCTCCAGCTCAGCAAACAGCCTGAGTCAGTTCCAGGAAGGGAAACACCCAATTGCTGCTGCTGCTGCAAGTGGGACATATTTCTAAGCTCAGGAAAGTGAGACTAGCCCTGTTACACTGTCCAGAGGGAGCCATGGCCACAGACAACCCCGTGGAAAGTCTCCAGGAGGAAGCTTCATGCCCCATCTGTCTGGAGTATTTTAAGGACCCAGTGATTATAGACTGTGGGCACAATTTCTGCCGAGCCTGCATCACCCAGTGCTGGGAGGGATCGAATACAGCCGTCTCCTGCCCTCAGTGCAGAGAAACTGTGCAACAGGGAAACCTCAGGCCGAACAGGCGGCTGGCAAATGTTGTAGAAATAGCCAAATGGTTGAGATTACAGGCAGCAAAGGGAGCAGGAGAGGAGAGGTTGTGTGGGGAACACCAGGAGACTCTGAAACTGTTCTGTGAAGAGGCTCAAAGTTCTGTCTGTTTGGTTTGCCATCTGTCCCGGGATCACAGAGATCACACGGTGGTTCCCATAGAGGAGGCTGTGCAGGAGTACAAGGTAGGGAATTGCTGTTAGGTTTAATGGGTAATAATTTTGGATTTTAATTACAGGCTGATTTTACTCAAAGTTGCCTGTCAAAGGTGTGACGCATCGTTCAGCTCTGTAAAGCCTTCATTGTACGGGAGATGCTGTAACAAAATTAATGATCTGGCAGTGTGGAGACAGAATCAGAATATCAAGTCTTAAAAGATATCTGCTGTGGGAAACTTTTCTCTGAGATTCTGAATGTTTTTCAAACTCAGTGTCCACTGCTGAAATAAGGGGACTATTTACACAACGGCCGGTGTTAACAATCAGTGAGGTTTAAATCACAAGAGCTGCAGGCCAGTCTTTGTGAGTGTGTTACCTTCAGACTGGAGATGGGGAAGTTACAAGCTGTTATTGTTGTTACAGATTTATTTATTAGACATTATTATTGTTACTTTTATTTGCATCACGGTAGTACTTACAGATCCCAAATGAGATCTGGGCCCTGCATGAAACCCAGCAAGGGACAATCTCTGCCTTGAGCAGTTTGCAGTCTAACTAGACAAAACACACAAAGGATGGAAAGGGAAACTGAGGCACAAAGAGGGGCATTGAGTTGCCCACGGCCACCCAGCACATCAGCAATCAAGCTCGGCATAGAGTCCAAGTCTCCCCAGACCCAGTCCAAGGCCCTAACCACTAGGCCATGCTGCCATTTTAGCATCAGCCCCCAGAGATGAAGTGTGTCCATTAGGAGGGAAAGATGCCTTGATAAAGGTCCCAGCATGTCGCACTGGACAAAGCCACATCCAGGGCTGGGTCCCTACTGGACAGGGATAGTGCTCCACAAAACTGGGAATGCGCAGCTTCAAACCAGACGAATGGCGTCCCGATGTCTCATGGGGTTTGCCCTGGTGCTTAGACCAACTCTGTCCAACCAGTGCAATCCCCAGGGCTTCAGGGCTGAAATCCCAGCCCATATTTAAACCCTGGTGGCTTCTGGGATTTGTATCACTTTGTTTGTTAAACCTTCTTAAAAGCAGGTCTATTGATTCACCCCCATGTGACTTCAGTGTCCTGTTGTGCACTATAACACTAATCAATTCACAAATACCAGTAAAGCTTGGTTATAATTGAGATCTCTGTGTAATTACTAAAAAAACGGAACCTGAATTCGTAGCAAGTCTTAATATGACACACTCCCAGTCTGCATTGATAAGGTTTCATCTCCTTGATGGCCCTGATGTTGCAAAGCCATTAGGACCAACAATCGTCTTGAGTTTGGGTGGGAAAACACCCAACTCCACACCCCTCTCAACCCTCAAAGTGAAACTTCCCGAATCCTTTCTGTTTCTTCAGGAAAAAATTCAGGCCCATTTGAAGGCTCTGCGGGAAGAGAGAGAAAAGCTGCTGGGATTGAAAGTGACTGGAGAGGGGAAAAGCCAGGAGTATCTGGTAGGTGCCTGTTGTTATTAACCAGCAGGGACTGGCAGTGGGAGGTCCATTTGGAGGCAGATTCCTCTGTGGCCTTGGTGAAAGTGGACTTGTGTGTGTTTCTCCATGATCACAGATTGCTGTGTTAGATTCATGTGTAGACAAGTCCTAAGCTTCCATTTCAGCTGATGAGTTAATGTCTAGCTCAGAAATCCTCCCCAAGTGAACTGAATGTCACCCGTGAAGTGCTGTCCCCTGTGTCTGGTCATTTCGTGCATTAACATGTTTGTTTCTTTTTTCTCCCCTGGTGTCTCTGTCAGTGTAGTGCTGAGTCCTGCCACCTGCTGCTCTGGGTCTGAATTCCCAGAGGCCATGAATGACATAATATGCTAACATGACAGACATAGAAACCTCCCTTTCAGAGATACAGGGGCTGAAGGGGAAGCTGTGAGAGAATCCTCTCCCTAGGGTAGAGTTAAATGTCAGAAATCTTAGGATTTTCAACGAATTTCTCCCTCCTACACACTCAGCTCTCCATGAAAGGACCTCAGGCGCCATTCCTGTCCCTGACCAGCCCTTTTCCTATTTTCATACAGAAACAAACACAAACCGAGAGGCAGAAGATTGTGTCTGAATTTCAGCAACTGCGGCAGTTCCTGGAGGAACAAGAGCGACTCCTGCTGGCTCAGCTTGAGAAGCTGGACGAGGAGATTGTGAGGATCCAGAATGAAAATATCACCAAACTCTCCAAGCAGATTTCCTGTCTCAGTGAGCAGATCAGTGAGATGGAGGGGAAGTGTCAGAAGCCAGCAAGTGAATTCCTGCAGGTGAGATTGAGGGAGAAACAGAGGCATTGAATCTGTGGGTGCTTAAGGGATGGAGCAGCAACAGAAAAAAATTAGCAGGTGCTTAGCACCCATCATCAGCCAGCTACCCCTCCTCCCCCCAGCACCTCCTGCCCGCTGGCAGCCCCATCGATCGACTCCTCCCCTTCCCTCCCAGCGCTTCCCACCTGCCTCAATCAGCTGTTCCACGGTGTGCAGGAGGCACTGGGAAGGAGGGGAAGGAGTGGGGATGGGGTGCGCACGAGGGAGGGGGCAGAATGAGGCTGAGTGGGGGCAGAGAGGGGGTAGACAGGGTGGAACTGTGGCATGAGGAAGGGGTGGAGTGGGGGCAGGGTCTAGGGTTCAGCACCCCCAGGGACAATTAGAAGCCAGCACCTGTGGTTAGAAACACCAGATCCCCACACAGGGAAGGGAGGGCTCCTGAATCATAAGCACTGGGGCCAGCAGTCAGAGATCTCAGTGTAACTCGGTGTGTGCATTGCTGACATGTGAATGACTATTGTTCTTTGCAGAGTCACAGACACACAGATATTAGAGATGGAAGAGCCGCATTAGCTCAGGGAATCCATGCCCCTGGGCCAGGGCAGGGCCTCTGTTCCCCATACTTGCTAAATCCCTTCCCTGGGATCCCCTATGTGTGTGTCAGAGGGGACTGAGATTCTTTCTTCTCTCTCTCTCTCTCTCTCTCTCTCCTCTAGGATGTCAGAAGCACCTTGAGCAGGTACGTGTCTCTCTCTCACTCCCCCTCCCACTTCACAACGTTAGGAAAGAGCTCGGTGGTGATGTTAGCACTGAATCTCCCCAGGGCTCTACAGCAAAATGTGTGGGGAAGGTCACATGTTGGATACAAATCTCCCTGATCAACTTCATCCTGAGGTTCTCACCCTTGCACAGAAGACTCTGGAATTATCCATTCAGTGGGAAGGACTGACCTCAAGTATTTCCTAGAGATGTCACATCCCTGGGGGACGGGCTGACTCAGGATAGTGGGGATGGAATATGAGCGTGTCACTGCTGGGGCCCTGGTTACCATTCAGCCCAGGGCAGCAGTGGTCAAGAGTCTTTCACACCTGAGGACAGTTTGGAGACCTATGTGAAATGAGCTGGGGAGGGGGGAGTTGGTGTCTCAGTCTAGCTCCTAGTGGTCAGATTTCTACAGCACTTCACTTGTGAACCTCCTGTCCCTCAGAGCATGGAGGCCAAGGAGTGAACTGGCCATGGAGACTCAATTCCATTTTTATCCCCAGAGCTGATCTCTACAGGCCAGAGTTGAAGAACATTCATGGGACATTTGGGGGGAAGGTTGCACGGGCATGGGCTGTGTCGCACCTGCTCTGAGGCTGGGAGAAGTCGAGGAATTCTAACTCCAGGCCCATTAGAGCAGTGGCTCCCTAGCAGCAACTTATAATGAGTCACTACATGAAATATAATCACGTGAAATTGTTTTTCTCCAGGTGTGAGAAGGGGAAGTTCCAGCAGCCAAAGGAAATTTCTTCTGAACTGGAAGAGCGAGTCAGTGGTTTCTCCCAGAAAACTATTGTGCTATTGGAGGCTCTGAGGAAGTTCAAAGGTACCTAGAAGGGATCTAGGACGGGAAATTAGGATAAACGTCTGAGACTGTTGGAGGTGAATGGAGCTGGTCAATTGGTTCATAATTAGATTATGCATCTATTTAATTGTTGGTTGAGAATGCCATGCACTTGGGGTCCAAATCACTCAGGTTGATTAATTTAACCCCTTATTTGTTCCAAAGCATGCCTTGCTATTACAACTACTATTAAAGTACGAAATGACAGACATACTGAAAGAAATACTGCCCAGTTACCTTCTCCAGGAGCATAGGCGGGTCATGATACATTTCTCCTATGATGCTCCGATTACCCCTTACAATGTCTGACATATTATACACATCCAGATTATATATTTATTAGTTCTTTTCCAATCACCTTTGAATGTTATGAATAGGAAATATCTTGTATAACTCATTCACTGCACATGCATGAACTTTCTAATTGGCAGGGCTTTTGCTGTCCAAGCCATTTTCAAGTTATTCTCTTTTCTGATTCATTCATTACCAGTCAGTACATAGTGATGTGCCCGGGTCACTTTGACCCTTTTCTCCACATGGGGATTTTTGGACTTTGGTAACTGCTCATTGGCAGTACATTTTGGGTGTCTGTTGTCTTTAAGCACATTTTGTGGTCAAAACATCTCTTTGTCCCACATAGCAACTTATGGACACATCACTTAATAACAAGGTCACATAAGGCGACATTTCCCTTATGTCAAGCAAACTGCTCACCAGGCCAAAGCGAGTCAGTCAGTATAAACACACAATCTCCGTCTGCCCAAACTTATGCATAAGAAATGATCCTTGTACCAATTCTCAATACTGAACATAATAACTAGTGGAAAGGCAACAAACTGAGCTGATAGCAGGGCCCAGGCATCAGCATATCTCACATTAATTCACGACTTACCAAAGGTCACAACATTCAGGCCCAAATTGAACAAAAAGGCCTAATTTGGGGCCCCTGAGTTTCTCTCTCCCAACTAGAGAACTGCAGGGCAGGTGCTCCAGAGCTGTGCAGCCTCCACAGCTGCAGGTGGAGTCAGTGGGAGCTGCAGGTGCCCAAACCCTCTGAGAACCAGGCCCCAGGGGCCTAAAGGTCGGCACCCAAAATCTAGACCCTAAATTAAAGACCGTTTGTTAGAACTGGACTCAGCCCATCACTGGGCTCTGGTCCCATACGGCAGCTAGTCTGGGCCAAATGGGCTGGAGGGAAGGAGAAAGCCCCTCCCCCACGGTGAGGGATCCCTCCAGCACAGGAGCCTCTTGTGCCTCCTCCACAGTTGCAGGCACAAGGAGTGTTCCTGAGAGGGCTGGGAATGGGGTGGGGGTGGGGGTGAGGGCGGGTGGAAGAGGGACAGAGGGACGTGGGCAGTGTAAAGCTGGGCCTCTGACACTCTGCACACTGGGCAAGTCACACGGGGCCCATTGTCATAGGTGTGTAGCTCTGGCTGGCTTCAGAACTTCCTCAGCCTGTGCCAAGGTCTGCACCAGCCCCTGCAGCCACTGAACAGCAGAGTCACAAATGGCCCCTCCCCTCTCTCCTTTTGTCAGTACAGGGGTGAATCTAGCCCATGGATCCAACCTTCCCCTGCCTCAGTTTCCACATTTATAAAATGATTTTTATTATTATTCCTATTTCTGCCTATGGAGGATGAAGCCCCGTCGTGCTGCTCTCTGTAGAGACGCTGAGTAAACAGACCCAACAGCTCACAATTAGAGCCAGGATTTCGCAAACTCTGAACATCCCGTTAGTGTCAAAGGGACCCAAGTGGGTAAAGTTACTTTTATGCCAAAGTCTTTGTATGACCTGGGTCTAGGTCACAGTAAGTGAATGAGACAAACCAACTGGAGTCTGAAGGGTGGGAGGGATTGATGAGAGGAAAAGTAAATCTCACTGACAGATTGTTTATCCTGGGATGGTTGTGAGGCTTCATGGATGTTGGTTCCATTGCTGGGAGATGCCTGAACGAGAAAGGAAGTAGAAGGTTTCAGACCTTGTTGTTTGAAATACCTGAGTGTGTCTCAGTCTGTTTCTCTGTCATGATGAAAACACATGTCTAGGAGTTCAGAATGGGAATGCTCTTATAATTATGAATGCCTGAAATCTCACCTCGCTTATCCTTTCCCTCTCCAGACACTCTGCGTCTGCACTGGAGACAAAAACAGGGGAACCCCTAGGATCCGACAGACTGGGTGAGTTTGCTGGTGGAGATTGTCTTTAAATGATAAGAAAATTCAAGTGAAAATATCTTCATGATAATGTAGCTAAAGTTACCAGCCCTAAAAATAACACATTAAACTGTGAGAAGATCCAGGAGCACTGGAACAAGGGGACCATGCCCCCCTACTTTTTAACATGGGCATAGTTTGGGGGCAGGCAGTGGCAGATTTAGAGTTAGTGAGGCCCTGTGCGCAGCTTCATTTTCACCCCCCATCCTTCTCGGGACCTAGTCAAGAAAAAGAACATTCTCTCTTATCTCCCCCCTGTTTTTCATTCTTTTTTTCTTCATCCTCCTCCTATATTATAAGTAATAGGAAGTAAATGAAAATAAAGTGAGGTACCTTGATTGGGACAGGGAGTTGGGGTGCAGGAGGAGGTGTGGGGGTTTAGCTCTGGGAAGGAGTCTGGGTGTGGGCTGGGGCCGGGGGTTGGAGTGCAGCAGGGAGCCAGGGGGGAGGCGCTTATCTCAGGCGATGTGGCTTTGAAAGCCATCAGCACACCCCTCTGGCAGCATCTCCATTGCGGGGGCAGGGTCAGGGGATCTCCACGTGTCGCTGCCCCAGGCACCGCCCCCGCAGCTCCCATTGGCTTCAGTTCCCAGCTAATGGGAGCTGCGGAGTTGGCGCTCGGGGCAGAGGCATGCCGTCTGCTTCTGGAAGTGGCGCAGAGGGAGGGAGGCAGAGCAGGCAGGGAGCAGCCTTAGCCCTGCTCGCTGCTGATGGCACGTCTCTGCGCGCCCCTTAGGGGAAGAGGGGCAGCGAGTCAGGCAGCACACGGAGCCACCTCCCCCCCTGCCAGGTGCGCGCACTGACCCCTGCTGCACTGCCACATTTTGGGGGCCTCCCTATCACTGGGGGTCCTGTGCCACCGCACGGTGTGTTTAATGGTAAATCCACTCCTGGGGGCAGGGGACCATGTTGTCCCCACAAACTGGAAGCCTTGGACAGGCCTGGAGCTTCGCAGGCAATGGCTGTGCTTCACAGCAGGGCAGCTGATCAGCTTCCCCCTGAGGAGCACAGCCTCTGCCCGCGGCGCCAGCCTCTTCCCGGTCCTGGCCCCTCTCAGTGGCTCCACCCCTGCTCCTCTTCCCACAAGTCCCTGCCCCCTGGTCAGGCCAGGAGCTAGAACTGGGCTGTCACCCAGGGAGCCTGGGCTGCACTGGGGAGCCCTGGACCCTCCACCTGCCCTGGGTGGCGCGCTCCGGGGAGCGGGGACATAGGCCAGGGCAGGTGGAGGGTCAGGGGCTCTCCAAAGTGGCCAAGGCTCTCAGCCCAATAAGGGGGCGGGACCTCAGTGGGAAGAGGAGGTTTAGGGTGAGGCCATGGAGGAGGTGGGGCAACAGGCTGCCGGACCTCATGTCCCCCCCCGCCCCCAATTCTACCAAGGTTCATGAACTCCTAGGGAGATCCCAAGCTGACATCACACAAACAATTCTGACATCAACCTTAGTGCTGAGTTCATGCCCACGCTGATGAACAGAAACACTCTCACTGAGCAGCTCCTGAACAGAGCTCCCTACCCTGAGGGCTGACACATCCCTCAACTTCACCCCAGTGCAGGGTGTCTCCCCATTGCTCTTCTCCAACATCCGGCCTTTCCTTTGGGCTGGGCTGGGCTCTCCCATTGGAGCTGCTCACTGCTTCCTGGATTGGGGAGGTGCTCTCCCTCCGAGGCTGCCAGCTCCTCCCTTCTCTCTGGGCTGGGAATGGGGCTACTCCACCTAATGTCACTTCCTACTCTCTGGTATTAAGCAGCTCTTCCCCATTGCTGCACCTTCCTCTCTGTTCCCTGATCTGGGAGTGGAGGCTGCATTAGGGAAGGGAGCTTCCCCCTGGGGCTTAAAGTTGGTACCTGCTTCTTCTGTTCCCTTCTCATTAAAAGCTTCTGACACCTTCCTGGCTGTGTCTGTGCAGCTGGGAATGGAGCAGCCCCAGAAGGGAAAGCTGGAAGCTGAAACCTCTGTAATAAATGAGAAACTAGTGAAGTGGGTCCCAATACAAAGACAGAGGAACTGCAGTGAAATCTCTGCTCAGTCTCAGGTGCCCAGGATGGAGGCAGCTCCCTGGGATCCAGGCCTGTCCCAGCCAGAACGGTGCTGCTGGGGAGTGTGAGAAATCGTCCCAGCCTCCCCCAGGGCTAAGCTCTGCCCCTAACGCTCTGATTCTCTCTCTCCGAGTGAATGTGACTCTGGATCCAGACACGGCTCATCCCCAACTCGTCCTATCTGAGGATTGGAAATGTGTGAGATGTGGAGACACACGGCAGCAACTGCCCAACAACCCTGAGAGATTTGACATTGAGCCCTGTGTGCTGGGCTGTGAGGGATTTACCTCAGGGAGACATTGCTGGGAGGTGGAGGTGGGAGTTGGGGGAGGCTGGGCTGTGGGGGTGGCCAGAGAGTCTGTGGGGAGGAAGGGATGGATCAGCCTTAACCCTAAGGGAGGAATCTGGGCTGTTAGGCAGTGTGGGGGTCAGTTCCGGGCTCTCACCTCCCCTGTGACCCCCCTACCCCTGTGCCGGGCCCCCAGCAGGATCTGGGTTTGTTTGGACTGTGACCGGGGGCAGGTGACATTTATTGTTGCTGGTGACGAGGCCCCGATCTTCACTTTCCCACCGGGCTCCGTCCCTGGGGAGATAATCCGACCCTGGCTCTGGGTGGGGGGATCCCAACTCAGACTGTGTCCCTGAGACACTGGGGGGGGGACACAATATTCCACTGGGGACCCTGAGATCAGCCTCTCTATCCTCACACACCCTAATCTCTGTGACCACTATAGAGAGCATTTAGTGAGCGAGCTAGAGAAGCCAATCTCATCACTGTCCCAGGGATTGTGCAGCCTGTTTGCCACTGTCCTCTATGATGCATGAGGGCTCTGGGGATCCTGGGTCAGACAGTGCCACTGAGACATGTGAAGGGGAACAGCCCACTGGGAATGAAACAAGTCATTGAAACAAGTCAATGAAACTAGCCACACTCATCCTACCCCCTATGGCCTGGAGGACTCCTGTCTTCCCAATTGTGACGTTATTGACATGAACTGTGACCGTATAGATCATTGTTTCAACCAGGGTCCTATGGCTGCACCAGATCTTGTACAGAGGCGGTCAAGTGGGGTTTCTATGGAAAGGCTGTAGTTTGCTGGTTATGATTATGCTGTCTGTACTTGTGTATCATTTTTGTATTTGAAGTTATGAATATTGGCTATGTATTAGTATCTTAATGTGTTTGATTCTAAATAGCCTCAGTGAAGCATTTGGTCAGCTTCTTGAGAAAGGACTATTCTCAGTAAGTGCCCAAACAAGAAACGCTTAAGTGACAATGTACTTTGGGAGACGCCAATCCACATCTGAGCTTTCCTGGGAATGTTCAAATTAATATGTAAACAATGGTGTCAGCCTACAAAAAGCTGAATCATTCATAGACATGGGACTTGCCCAGGTGGCTACAAACTCCATCTTGTTGCTGTGACTTTGCACAGGAAAACAAAGGGGTTTCTGCCCACAAGTGAGCGAATATAAAAGGCCCTGGAAACCCCTCCATTTTGTCTTCAGCTGGCTCAAAAGATAGCTTCTCCACCCCAAAGAGATGCCGGAAAGAAACTGGAACAAAGGACAATAACTACGGGGGTATGAGTGATTGCTGGACCCAGACAATGAAGGAGTCTAGTCTGTGAAAGAAGCTTATTGGAGATTTACCTGCATTTAGTTTCCTACTGTATTAGGCTTAGACTTGTGTGTTTTTGTTTTATTTTGCTTGGTAACTTACTTTGTTCTGTCTGTTATTACTTGGAACCACTTAAATCCTACTTGTTTATATTTAATAAAATCACTTTTGCTTATTAATTAACCCAGGTGGCAGTATTAATACCTGGGAGAGCAAACAGCTGTGCATCTCTCTCTCTCTCAGTGTTACAGAGTTTTATGAGTTTACCCTGTATAAGCTTTATACAGAGTAAAATGGATTTATTTGGGGTTTGGATCCCATTGGGACCTGGGTACTAGAGGCAGGAGCACTTCTTAAGCTGTTTTCAGTTAAGTCTGCAGCTTTGGGGCACGTGTTTCAGACCCTGGGTCTGTATTGGAACAGACTGGCGTGTCTGGCTCAACAAGGCAGGGTTCTGGAGGCCCAAACTGGCAGAGAAAATGGGCTCAGAGGTAATTTCAGCACATCAGGTGACAGTCCCAAGGGGGTCTCTGTGACCAAACCCATCACACCAACCATCTGGCCTCTTAGCTCTATGACCTCTGGAAGCTCCTCCCCACTCCCTCCCTGAAACACCAGGGGTTGGATTGGGAGGGTGAAGAACCCCTAGAGCTGCAGAAGGAGCAGAGGGGCCCTGAGGGGCAGATGTGGGGGCTGCAGGGTCAGAACTAAAGGAGGGGCTGGGGACAGAAGTGATGTGGGGTTGTTGGGTAGAATTAACAGCCAGGCTGGGGACAGGCAGATGTGCGGGTGGCAGGGACACAGAATTAATTGAAGTTTGGGGGAGAAACTAGAGATTCCACACCAGCAGGGATACTAGCAGAGGGACAGCCAGGGACTGGGGAGTGTGCATTCATCCCCATATCCAGTAGAAATGCATGGCTAGCATAGACACGTCTTACATCGATAGAAGGGGTTTTTCCATCAAAGCAGTGGGACCACATTCCAACACTTCTGGGAGAGGCAGTGTTACTCGCACAAAATTCTCTGTTACTCACGGTCTCAAGGGCACCCATCTTTACCCGGTTCCTAGGGCTCAAGGCGTAACCCTCTTAATTTAGGCACCCTCACCCTTTCCCAGTTCCTAGGGCTCCAGGCAAAAAGCACCTTACTTTACCCCTCCGTGGGCTCTGGGCTCTACTCTTCTGTGGGCTCCAGGCAAACATCCTTTCCCTGTGAACTCAGAGCAAATACCCTCTCCCTGTGGACTCAGGGCTTAATCTTTGGCGGGTTACGGGGTCTTTTACCAGTGAAAGAGCCTTACAGAGTAATATACTACATATCTTCTATTTATTAACAATCACCAAAAACAGAATGCACACACTACACATACAGTGCTCACCACTCCCAATACGATAGATGAACTTTTCTTGATGGCCAGTCAGGATCAGGTCCATCTGGGGGACTCCAGTTTCTGCACAGGGTCATTGGCAGAGTGTTGAGGTCTGGCACCTCTGATCTTTGCAGCTGTGTCCTGGAGTTGATTCCCAAAGAACTTCCTTTTGTACCCCAGTTTATATAGTGAAATTTGAGTTCTGCTTAGCTATACCTTAATCAATTATTTTACTGAAATCTATCTAACCAATCCTAACATATTGTAACAAAATTCTCTAACCAATTATATTCCACCACCTTAATTAATTTACACCTACCAAAATTAATTATGTAACAGACAGAAACAATTAAAGAACCAGACAGAGATTATACAGATAAACAAAAGGAAAGTGGGGACCATAATGAAAGAAATGAGGATTTCACAACCACAACTATTGATAATTAGTTTCTTGTCAGACAGAATACTGTCAAACTAAGTTTTCTTTAACCATCTTAAGCTCTGTTTCTTTATCTGGTGATAGGGGGTGCCATTAGGACAGGGTCTCCTTAACAGCCTGATATTACATGTTTTAATGTAATTTAGATGGAATGTGAGGATGTGACTTCCTGCTTCTCAGCTAATGGCTGCTGCTTGGCTGCTCTTTTAATCTGACTGCAGACGAAGGCCTTAGGCTTTAGGCCTTACAATATGGCTGCAGGCAAAGGCCTTATCCTTACAGTAGTAGTTAGGGAAACAAAGAATTCTTCCCTTGACCATCTGTGTCTACATCAGGGTTAGATCGACCTAACTACATCACACAGGGTGAGAAAGTTTTCACAGCTCTGAGCAGTGTAGCTAGGTTAACCTAAGGTTTAGGGGTGGGCCAGGCCTCAGGATGAACAAGGATATGTCTACACTACAGTCACTAGAGTGGCACAGCTACAACACTACAGCTGTGTCCCTGAAGTGCTGTAGTATAGATGCTTCCTACGTTGACAGAAGTGGTTTTTCCATCACTCTAGTTAATCCCCCTTTCTGAAAGGCTGTAGCCAGGTCACCAGAGGAATTCCATTATCAGCACCGGGGTTAGGTCTATCTAGCTGTGACACTCAGAGCACACAATGTTTCCCAGCCCTGAGTGACGTCACTAGGTTGATCTAAGTGTTAAGTGTAGAGCAGGCCTAAGAGGGGTTTCCCTGGAGCTGGCTGAAAACACAGAGTCTGAGGGACTGGCTGGCAGCTTGGGGTACTTGAGGCAGAAAGCCAAGAGAAGCAGTTGTGAGTGTGATCCCGGGAGGAAACTGTGAGACAAAGGCCTTGGCTACACTGGTGCTGTACAGCGCTGCAACTTGCTGTGCTCAGGGGTGTGAAAACACCCCCCCCCCAAGCGCAGCGAGTGCAGCGCTGTAAAGCGCCAGTGTAATCAGCGCCTGTAGCGCTGCACGCTCGCTCGCAGTGCTGCAAGCTATTCCCCTTGGAGAGGTGGAGTACTTGCAGCGCTGCGAGAGAGCTCTCGCAACGCTGGTGGCGCGACTACATTCACGCTTCACAGCGCTGCCGCGGCAGCGCTGTGAATTCTTAAGTGTAGCCAAAGCCAGAGCTTGCTTCAGGTACAGGGTTCCCTGGAAAGGCAGACGTGGAGTTCTGAGTAAGGAAACTGCCAGCTGCTGTTTGTACCACGTTCAGGGCACAGGAATGTTTGGACTTTGTTTGTAACTAATAAAGATTGCACCAAAGAAATACCTGACTCCTATAATCAATTTCTCCTCCCAGTGGAAGAACCTAGCAAGGCCCCAAACACTGGCTAACTGCTGAGGTCAAAGGAGCAATGGTACAACCCAAGTCAGAATCTAGACCTGTGGCAGCAAATGCGTTGTTGGGAAACATTTGTGGGGAGCTCCAGCAGCAAAGAGCCTGTGCAGAGGAGCAGATTGCTGCTAACTGCGGACTTGAGCATGTCCAGCTTTGTGGGCCGAGCAGTCCCCATTGTCCCTTCTCTCAGGTGCAGGGAGATGCCCCCAGCCAAGGGGCCTTGCATGCCAGATTTGGAGGGGGAGCATAACCCTGACAGGAGGAGACTGATGCTGGGAAGAAGGGTCCTGCCACCTAGAGCCTGAAGGCATGTGGCCACCAGTAGAGCATGTGTCCAACCCGCAGCATCCCTGCAGCACAGCCAGGGCCTGGGCAGGAGGCCTGGGACATGTGAGAGACAGACTATGAACTGCCCAGACATTCCAGAGATGCTGGTTGTGGTTCTCCCATGCCCACAGAGCGGGGTGATGTGTTTTCCTTTCACCTTTACCATTTTTTCCTTAATTTTTTTTTATTACTTGCTGTTTAATAAATTGTATTTGTTCTGAACTCTATGCAATGGTCAGGGAAGAGGTAAAGGAAGCTTCCAGAGTGGAGAGAGTACCCTGGACTGGGGACACCCTAGCCCCTGTCCTGAGTGACCATGACAAGGTTGGGGGTTGAGCCCCACAGGAATCCTGGGCCCAGCCTCGTTGGGGTTACAAGAACTCTGCCACACAGAACAGTGGAAGGGGAGACCTCGAGGTTAGGCAGGTATCTGGGTAAAGGGAGTGGAAGCGAGGTCTCAGATCCTTTTGCTAGCCAATTCCACCAGAGTGGTGTATAAGCCAGGAAAGTTCCCCACAATAGCGGGACTGTTCCCCCACTTTCTTATGTGCACATCTAATGGTTTTTACTAAAATTAAGTAAGTATTTTAGGCAAAAGTGTCAGAGCGGCCACCAGCGAGAGCTGCTGGCTGCATTCTGAGGCCACCAAAAATTTGGTCGTGAGAACCCCTGGGCTAGATAATCGATTTGTGATGATCCCTTCTGACAGTAAAATCTATGATTCTAACAGAAGCCAGACACAGAGAGGCCAAGCACAGTGTGGGGATATCACTAGTACCCAGGAGCAGCTGGGGGGAGCGATTGCTGGGCTCAGGCCCGGCAGCAGGAAGTGACTTGCAGCCGCTGCGGTGACTCTGGCTCCTGGCGAGATCCCCGAGCCCCGGCGGCTGGTGCTGGGAGCCCGGAGCCCTGGCTGCAGCCGGGAGAGGGGAATCTCCAGCAAGGCCCTTCCCGCTGCTCCCCAGGAGCCTCTCCCAGGGCAGAGCCCCCAGCCTGGCCAGGCCCCTTCCCGGCCCGGCCCCTGCCCCAGGGGGCCCCGCTCGGAGGG